CAAACAAACAAACAAATAAATAAATATGAGCCTCATACTGACCCGGGAGGAGCTGGGGAAGCCAGTTTGAGGTCCTCTTCCCGACTCACCTGGAGGAGCAGTGGAATCTCCATAGCCTTTCATTTCCAAGGCGATGACACGGAAGCCAGCATCAACTAGTGCAGGAATCTAGCAAGGAGAAGGGGTGAAGGAGAGACTAGGGATTAATTTATTTCATATAAAGATTGATTTCCACTCTTTCTCAGGTTTCCCCCAGCAAGCCTCTCCCATCCTTTCTTGGCCTTGTCAGTCATCACAGTTAGCCCATCAATATGTGTGGCATACGAGGTATTTCCAAACAAGAGCCACAGGGGTGCATAACATGAAGCATGGATATGATTTATTAAGCACTTAAAAAAGCAAAGCATGTTGCTTATATACTGCCTCATAGCGCTTAAAGGACTCTCTGGGTGGTTTACAAGTTAATTAGGCAGGCTACACATTTCCCCATCCCAGCGAGCTGGGTAGTCAATTCACCAAGCTTGGAAGGATGGAAGACTGAATGAACCTTGAGCCAGCCATTGTTGTTTAGTCGTTAAGGCGTGTCCGAATCTTCCTGGGATTGAACCCCAGGTCATAAGCAGAGTCTTGACTGCAGTACTGCAGTCAACCCACTGCGCCACGAGGCTCCCTAAGAATCCCAAGAAGTGGACAATGTCTAAAACCTACTAAAAGCACTGGCTTGCCACCATCAAAACAGACAAAGAAAGACCACAAGGAGAGAAAAGGCAGCAACCGGACTGAAAACAGAGTCCACTGGCAATGTGGGGTGAGATTTTAGAACCTGGACGGGTACCTGAACAAGATTCCTGACGCTCTTTCTGGGTGTATGTTGAGCATACCTCTTATGCTGTCAATACTGCAGAATGCAGTTCAAATCTCCCAGGACATCCTCCGTCTCTCATCAGGTCCCTGAGGTGCCCAGCCCTCTCCCCTAGGTCTCACAAGGGTTGCAGCTCAGCTGGGCACGATTCTGCAGCATAGGCAGATGCTTCGGGAAGGGCTTAACCTTAGTCTCTCACAATAATAAAAAAAATGGATAATAAGAGATAAATTGGAGGAGCAGAGGGCACTGTCCACTCTGAGCAGGTGGAACCTGTTCTAGCCCTTGTGTGTTAATGAGTGAAGAGACAACTGTGGGGTCCTGCAGGGATCAATCGTCTTGCCAATGCTATTTAATAGCTACACAAGGCCTCCGGTGGAGGACATCAGGTCAACACTCAGCTCTCTCTCTCCTTCCATCCTTCTGCAGTGGATGCTGTCCCATCCCTTGAGCGGTGCTCGGATGGATGAAGGACAACAGACTGAAGCTGAAGCCAGACAAGACGGAAATCCTGTGCATGGGGGCCCTTAGTGTCTGTGGTCTGGGTTCCTCCCTATCTTTTTTGGGGGGACACTCTTTCCATAAGGGCCGAAGTTCATAGCATGGGTGTACTTCTGGACCCAGCGCTATCAATGGCATCACAGGTAGTGTCTGTGGTCCGATCCACTTATCTTCACCTAAAGCGGATTGCCCAATTGTGGAATATCCTCCCACCCGAAGTTCACCTGGCCTCCTCACTAGACATTTTTAAAAAGCTCTTTAAAAACTGGCTATTTAGACAGGCCTTCCCAGAATAACATCCTCATGCAACAGTGCTTCCGGTAATGTCACATTTAACACACCACCTTGTTTTTATGCTATTAAATGTAATGTATTGTACTGTATTCCACTATGTCTTCCACCGTATTTTATGGTATTTTGTCCTGCATTTTAAAATTTATTGATGTTGTCATATTTTGTTATTCTATGGTTCTTCTGTTTAGTTGTTGCACACAAACCGCCCAGAACGCCCTTGGCTGCCAGATGGGCAGTATCTCAATCCATCCATCGATCCATTAAACAAACGAACAAAATGAACAAACGAATGAACAAACGGAATTTGCTGTACCTGGTACCTCCAAGAAAGCCAAATCTCTGGGAAGCCATGGCAGAGGCAAACCACGGGGCCACTGCCCATCTCCACAAAGTGCAACCGGGTGTGAGGCTGAGAAGGGGAAAAGACGCAGGTACAGAAGGCTTGTGAGTCAGAATCACAAATAAAGGAAAATCATTACATTTCTATGTCTCCTGACCGATTTCAGTACGCATGCCCATCAGGTATTGAAAATCACCAAACTCTTGTCTTCATGTAGACAGCGAGGGAATTGAATAGAATCTAAACGGCAATCAAAAATCAGTTCAAAGAGGTGCTCCCCTCCCCTCTCCCATTTCGTGCACAACCTATTCTGGAAAGATTTTAGAAGGCACTTCCCAGCACGAAACTCCCAGTTGCCTTGAACTGGAGCAAGCGCACGAATGTTAACATGCAGCCACTTGCTCCATGTTGGTGACTGAAGAGGTGTGACGAGGACAACTTTCCCCCAGGCCTGGAAAGAATGAAGAGCAGATGGATTTGCTCCCTGAAGGAAGTCACGGCCATGAGTTTGGAAGACCAGAAGAGAGCCGGTCATAACGGGACCTTCAGGAGATCAGTCAATGGGGCACAGCAACAAAACCACCCTTGGAAGGTAGGTCCAAGAACTAGAAAATGGAGAATGGTTTTTCTCTGGAAGGTTACTGGAAAAGGAGCGCTATTTCCTTTCCACCATGTCTATTCTCAATGTTTTTGGTGGAAATAAGCCTCGGTCAACATTTTTCTACATTGACATGGAACTGGCTGCACACACAGCAGGGGTGACGTTGCTGGCCCATGGCCACAATCGGTCGCATTTGCTTAGGACCAAAGCCTAAGCTACCAGGTGCCAACAAAGCGGAAGTCACACTGCACTTGTTGGCCAACTTGGAGAACACCGAAGGACTCCTATCTCAAACAAACGTCAAGCCACCCAGATTCAAAGTATTGAACCAGTTTGCATTTACGGACACGAGCCCCTGTTCTGAGTGAGCATGTTCCAGATACCAAGAAGGGCTGGAATCAAGGCAAGACCCACAAATGTATCTGGGCAGAGACTGTCAGGATGATCGTTTCAGTCTCAGCTCCATCGAAGCCTGAGCTTCTGCTTTGGCTCCTTTCTTTCTTGAATTCATCCTGAAAATGATTTCTTTCCTGCCCTTAACTGACTTAACAAAGAGCAGGTTTGAGCCAGCTGAGAAACAATTCCCACCTTCTTCCAGCTATACTTAAGCCAGGCAATAGGAGCCATCGCCGTGTTGTGGATAAGGAGATCTGGTGTCAGAACTCAGGAGACCTGGGTTCAAATCGATGGAGGCTCACAGAAGCGGAGATGGCCATGATCCATCCCTCCATGAATATCACACACACTTCTAAAACCCTTGGAGTGTAGGCAGTGAAAAGCCACTGTGAGAATGAGTTGTCTTCTTAGTTTGCGAATTTTAGATTGACTCTGAATTTATGTATGTAAGTGTTTGCCCATGCTTCTGTAATAGTGAATTTAACACACTCCTTTCATGATTTCCCTTTATTCCAAACATATTCCTGGTTTGGAAGTGAAAGGTATCGTCTCTACACAATGGATCCTGAATAGGTTTGTGTTTCCTGTAGCTGCTCTGAGCTCTGAGTAAGAAGCCTTCTGTTCATTTTCGGTGAGAAAAACAGCACATCAACAAATTCATTGTACTAAACGCGTGCTGAATGGCTGGATAAAGTCAAGGTTCCTGGACTACAGAAAGCACAATCGCCTATGAAGGAGGAGACGGGGTTTAAAATTCAAAAGGCATTCGTCAGCCATCACTGCCTGCCATCTAAAAAGCATATTATGGGAAATGATGCTATTGTGGTGGTTGTGTGCCATCCAACTGCACCCAACGTATGGCAATTCTATGAAGGAGTCAACCTTACTGAAACAAAGTTTGTATTGTGTTAACTTTTGGTATGATATATGGATGATGTGTATATTCTTTAAAAGCTTTTAAATATATGTTTAGCCGCCTAGAGTGGTCCTGACCCGACCAGATAGGCGGGATATAAATAAAATAAATAATAATAATAATAATCTCCAAATCTTCCTGTCCTCAACAGCCCTGTTCGACTCATGGTAACCAAGGAGCAAACTGAAATTCAAGGCTATGAATACATACAAATGTCCAGACTGTGTTGTGCCATTACAAACCCACCCTATTGACACCACCAAAAATGATGAAAAGGGGGTTTCGGTTCAACTATAGTCTCCCTACAATTACCTTGATGGTCACGTAGCCATGGGCCACATTCTCCGGTTCACAGGCAGGCGGCAGGCTCTCTTCCTGGTCCAGAAGCTGCGGGGCAGATAATTTTGGAAAAGAGAAAGACATATTTCTCGTGTCACTCAAGAAGCACCCAAGAGTGGCAGCCAACACCTCAGGCGGGCTGAGCAGATAAAGCAAAATGCAGCCAGTGTGGGTTCTCACACACTCCACTGGCTCTGTGTCACTCTGTCAGGCTGGAAGGTTCTCTGTTTGGTTTTCCTCGCTTGGTGCCTTTCCCTTCAAATACTCACTTGGCACCAAACCTTGCCTAGTCAGCCCCTTAGTGGAGTCCAACGTTCACTCCAGCTTCTCTCTTATGGAACCCTGCAGCTGGCAGATGTGTGTACGAGCCTATTTGCGTGCACTCATTCCTATGTGGGCATCTAAGCAAGGAACGAACAGATGCAATCCATGGACTGGCATGGAACCAAAACAAAAATTCACAAAACCTCAGCTCTCAAGAAAAGGCAAATAATTCAAGCACTCAAAATTGCACCGGGCAGGGCAACAGAGACCAGTTAGATTGCTCGTTTACAACTTCCATGTTCTGAATTTGGCATGTGAGATTTTGTAGACCTGAAACCAAGCACAGTTCTTGCATTTCAGTAACGCACGGTGTTTCACCAGAGGCACTGGTGAGCATGAAGAATAGAGGGCTGCTGTTCAGAACCCTGAATCACTGCAAAAAGGGCGTCAGCAATACCGCAAAACGCCTGTGAACCAAGGCAAGGCATGGATCAGGCAGAGGACAAAGTTAATCTCCCAGGCACATGGATTGCTTATTCAGAAAAAGAGGACTGTGTCAAATATCTGCAATCATTACATTTTTAAATGTGCTCTTTGAAAAAAAAAGAATGTTCTGTACCACATTCTTCATAACAATCTCTCAGTGGCAGATAAAACAGTGCAATTAAGGAGAACTGACCCTGGGATTTAATTTCTTCCTTATGAAACCATATGGCCGATGGAAAATGTCCATTCTTTTCCTTTCCTTTGCTCCCCACCCCACCCCCATTAAGGACACAACTGCACCCAACGTATGGCAATTCTATGAAGGAGTCAACCTTACTGAAACAAAGTTTGTATTGTGTTAACTTTTGGTATGATATATGGATGATGTGTATATTCTTTAAAAGCTTTTAAATATATGTTTAGCCGCCTAGAGTGGTCCTGACCCGACCAGATAGGCGGGATATAAATAAAATAAATAATAATAATAATAATCTCCAAATCTTCCTGTCCTCAACAGCCCTGTTCGACTCATGGTAACCAAGGAGCAAACTGAAATTCAAGGCTATGAATACATACAAATGTCCAGACTGTGTTGTGCCATTACAAACCCACCCTATTGACACCACCAAAAATGATGAAAAGGGGGTTTCGGTTCAACTATAGTCTCCCTACAATTACCTTGATGGTCACGTAGCCATGGGCCACATTCTCCGGTTCACAGGCAGGCGGCAGGCTCTCTTCCTGGTCCAGAAGCTGCGGGGCAGATAATTTTGGAAAAGAGAAAGACATATTTCTCGTGTCACTCAAGAAGCACCCAAGAGTGGCAGCCAACACCTCAGGCGGGCTGAGCAGATAAAGCAAAATGCAGCCAGTGTGGGTTCTCACACACTCCACTGGCTCTGTGTCACTCTGTCAGGCTGGAAGGTTCTCTGTTTGGTTTTCCTCGCTTGGTGCCTTTCCCTTCAAATACTCACTTGGCACCAAACCTTGCCTAGTCAGCCCCTTAGTGGAGTCCAACGTTCACTCCAGCTTCTCTCTTATGGAACCCTGCAGCTGGCAGATGTGTGTACGAGCCTATTTGCGTGCACTCATTCCTATGTGGGCATCTAAGCAAGGAACGAACAGATGCAATCCATGGACTGGCATGGAACCAAAACAAAAATTCACAAAACCTCAGCTCTCAAGAAAAGGCAAATAATTCAAGCACTCAAAATTGCACCGGGCAGGGCAACAGAGACCAGTTAGATTGCTCGTTTACAACTTCCATGTTCTGAATTTGGCATGTGAGATTTTGTAGACCTGAAACCAAGCACAGTTCTTGCATTTCAGTAACGCACGGTGTTTCACCAGAGGCACTGGTGAGCATGAAGAATAGAGGGCTGCTGTTCAGAACCCTGAATCACTGCAAAAAGGGCGTCAGCAATACCGCAAAACGCCTGTGAACCAAGGCAAGGCATGGATCAGGCAGAGGACAAAGTTAATCTCCCAGGCACATGGATTGCTTATTCAGAAAAAGAGGACTGTGTCAAATATCTGCAATCATTACATTTTTAAATGTGCTCTTTGAAAAAAAAAAAGAATGTTCTGTACCACATTCTTCATAACAATCTCTCAGTGGCAGATAAAACAGTGCAATTAAGGAGAACTGACCCTGGGATTTAATTTCTTCCTTATGAAACCATATGGCCGATGGAAAATGTCCATTCTTTTCCTTTCCTTTGCTCCCCACCCCACCCCCATTAAGGACAGAGTACAAAAAAAAAAGAATGTTCTGTACCACATTCTTCATAACAATCTCTCAGTGGCAGATAAAACAGTGCAATTAAGGAGAACTGACCCTGGGATTTAATTTCTTCCTTATGAAACCATATGGCCGATGGAAAATGTCCATTCTTTTCCTTTCCTTTGCTCCCCACCCCACCCCCATTAAGGACAGAGTACAAACGCCAGCTCTTTCTCAAGTCCAAAGGTGGGCCAGTGCAGAAGAGAAGATTCGTAGCACATCCGCGGTTAATGGTTCACTCAGCAGAGGCCTCTCTAGAGAGAAGAAAACAAAATCCCTCTTTCAGGGGAATCAGGCAGATCCACTTTCCAAGAATCAGCTGGCACGTGAACTTCCTTCGATGGAGAGGGAGGAAGACGTGCAGCGCCTTGTTCGGCTGGGAGCAACGGAAATGCTACAGAGAAGCACTTTGCTCATCCACTGAGTAACAAGATCCTGTTGAGCGCAAGTCAGCCAGCCGTGCAGGCAGGTGTCCAAGGTTAACTTGCCGAACGGTGCTGAGATCGGCAGTTCTGTAGAATCTTTAGGCAGCGGCCTCTCCCGTCTTCAGAATTTTCTTGCCACTAATCTTCCCTTCCCGGAGATATTATATTCCTCTTCCTCCTTGAACAGTACTCACCCAACAAGCTGCTTTTTCATTGGCTTTATTTACCCTTCCTAGGTGCGGCTGGCTTACTTAAAACTTGTAAGTTGTTAGCATGGTACAAGTATAGTAAGTGTCATATTGAAAATATCACGCTTCTGGCATTATTGCGCCTTGCAAGGACAACTTAGAAAAAGTCATAATAAGCTCACATACATTTTAGAACCAATACTGTATGGAATCAGACAGGCTTACCTGGACCCCCGTCAGGTCTTGCAGCTTCCTCAGAGCAGAATCAGCATCTTCCACGAGGATGGTGGCGATGCCCATCTCCCGAGCAGGCTTCAGGTTTGCACCAATGTCATCCAGAAAAATAACCTGGAGCCAGGAAAACAATCAAAACCCAGCATCGGCCCAAAGGAGAAAGCAAACAAATCGACACGCCAAGCTGTTCAGCAATTGTAAGCACAAAGGGAGACCTGGGCTTCCTTACTGGGTTGCAAGCGGCGCATTCTGCATGCCACACTTAAAGGTATTTCTGCACCAAGGAAAACAGAATTCGACAACCTGTACCTCTTGCTCTCACTGAGCAAAGGTGGTTTAGGTTTCTGGCTGTGGAGACAGAGGTTGGGAGTTTGATTCCACCCCGTACCTCCTTCATAGGAGTTGGACATGGTGATCTATAGGGTCCCTTCCAGCTCTGCCATTCTAAGGTGGCGAAGATGATGATATGCATATGGAAGGGCCGGGGGGAGGGGGAAGAGTCAAGACCCTGAAACCTACCCTTGTAAACTCAGAGAGGTTCATGCTCTAACCTTTAGGAACTCCACTGCCATTCCTCACATGCGCCCATAGTCTACCCCAAACCCAGCCTTTGCAGAGTGTCATCAAGATACAGCCAGAACTCAGAAACACTGCTCTTTGGGAGATATGCAAGAACTACGGCCACAGCCCAGGGAAGGTCCTTCTGGACGAATGCTCCTAGAACCGTCGCTGCCCCAGCCCGCAGGCCCCTTTGCACATGGGGCAGAGCCTCTTGCCCCAGAAGGCAGCCCATTCCGCCCTCAACCCCAGTTCCAAGAGACAGGGTGATGGATCCGAAAGAGAAGCGGCAGCGCTCCTGAACAGTTAACAGACATCCACCCCACCCACCCCACCCACTCACTTCTTCTGGCTTGGCCTTCAGCTCTTTCAGGGCATATTCATATATCCTGGGATCAGGTTTTTGCAGGCCCACTCGACAGGACTCGATCACCCTGTCAAAATATCGCCTCAGGAGACAGAGTGCAAGCCCCGTGCGATGTCTGGAGGGGGTGTCGTCAATCCAGTTGTTGGTCAAGACGGCGATCTTGAAGCCTGGAAGGAGACAAGGTGGCTCAGTAAGAGAAGGGGGACTCAGGCCTCCGCTTCTACACATCAACCACCATCACGGGGCTGAAGGACCACGACCTCAGCCGTTTGGAAACAGGTGCAATTCCACCTTTAGAGAAGACCTTGCTTTCTTAGACAAGATCTCCTAGAATCCCCCAACCAGCATGACCAATGGAACAGCTTGGAAGTAACTATTACAAGCATCCGCTATCTGTAACTAGTTCCTTTTGGGGCAACAAGTAATGCAACAGCTAGCAACGTCGTACATGCATGCATGCATGCATTCATTCATGCATGCAGTCATTCATAATATTTTTACCCCACGATTCTCCTTAAAAAGGACCCAAAGCAGCTTATGTCATTAAAAGACAGAATGTAAAGCTAACAAGAGTATGCAATACTGAAAGGATTAAACAAATATCACATTTTAAAAACCGCAAACAGAAGCAACACCAAAAACAGATTCAAAGCAGTAAGCTATAACAATCCATCTGAAAACAGGTGGTTGTTGAGATACCTTAACAGCAAAAAATATGAGGTAAAACGTAGAGGGGGGGGCTCCAAAACATGGCAAAATTAACCTCCCCACTCCATGGAGGGGCAAAGAATATTTCTGGAGGCCAATAAATATGTTTTTCCTTCAAAAATATAATTGATAATAAGTTTGGGGCTGGGGAGGTGCCTTTTTGCCCCTAGAGCGCCTGTTTACACGCAGCCAGGGGCTCAAACGTTCCCTACTCTCGGCTCGCTTCTAAACTCATCAATAAAGGAGGCCCTAGTTTTGCCAGAACTCACCCTCTTACCTTTGTTCTTGAGCGTCAGAGCTGCTTGCAGGAAGGGTGTACTGAAGAGGTCCACCTCCACCATTTCCTGGAACGTCGGACCCACCGAGAATGTGTCTGGGAGGGAGCCTCCTGACGCAGTAGCAGCTTTCTTGCAGTCTTCTTCAAACTCAGAGAGAAGCTGAGACATAAGACGCCACGTGAACATGTCGCACATCTTTTCAGCATCGTAATACAAGCAGGGAGTGCTCTTCGCGTGTGGGAGGGAAAGGCCCTTACACTCTGCTCCTCCCAACCTCAGGTCCCCAGACATTCCTGGACTACAATGCCCAGAAACCTTCACTCCTAGCTGGCCAGGATTTCTGGGAGTTGTAGTTGAAGAACACCTGGGGAATCGAGACTGAGAACCGCCACTCTCAAGGGCTAAATCTAAATTCTTCTGATACGCTTGGCCATGCGTATTGAGATCTTAGGGGCAGGCTATCGCACATTGACCACAGCCAGTTTGCTCTTCAGGATCTGCAATGAGTAACATAATGGACATTTTTTTACAAAGCAACATTCCACACTCCAGTATCTTTATAGCAAGACATGCAAGATAGACCATTAGAATGGAAACAGGTAACAGCATGCAGAACTTTTAGAAGGATTCGAGGACTGCCATGAATCCAGGAGAAGAAAACACTGTTTCAGAAGAACCAACTTTGAAGGAAACTTTCATGAGGAAAAGAACTAAGGCAGGCAGATAGATGCATCGTCTCTGCTCTGAGAAACACAAGCGCAGATTTCCCTATACTAGCACGGGACAGAAAGAAGAGCAGAAATGTACTTTTTGTGTCAAGCCTTTCTGCGTTTCACAGAACAGGCTGAAATCCTGCGGCTTACCAGATAAAGCCCCAGATCGTCAAAAACAATGGTAAGACGGTTGTTGGGAAGGAAAATTGACTTAAAGAATCCACTTGCAACCTCCGGTGCCTGTTTTTATTCTGACATGTTTTGAGGGGACCCCTCTATGCCTGGCCTCCACATCCACCTCCCACTACAGGGCAAAAGGACAGCTTTCTGATTTTTTTAAAAAAATGTAAGAAAAATAAGGGAGAAAGGGTTGCAGGAGTGAATATAGGAAAACAGTTCCTTAACAACCAATACAGTTCCTTCTAGATTTGCGATCTCTCGCTCTTCCTCGCTTCCTCTCTCTCTCTCTCTGTCCTTTGCTTCTCAAGTGGAAAGGACATTAATTCTGGGCAGATCACAGGACTTCCATAGAGGAGAAAAGTTTCTTATATTATATAATCATAAATGAGTTGGAAGAGACCTATAGGGCCATCGAGTCCACCCCCCACCCCACCCCACCCCACTTGTTTCATTCTCAGCTTGGGAACAGAGGAATTACGATGGTCTTTCACTTTCCTTGTAGAGATACCACAACAGATAAGCAATTTGGAAGGTATGATTCAACTTTCCTGTTTCAGCTGCCTGTAACTTTCTGGTTACTTTCTGTCCCTTTTGAACACTTCAGAAATGATAAGCAAATGGCATGAATCTTCAACTCTTCCTCTGAAAATACCACGAAAAATGCCCTTTCAAAGTTACTCAAAAATATAATTCATGGCACCAAGAAAGCTTCTGTGTTCCTGTTCGTTATTACTGACTTATTCTGCTTTTCAGGTGTTAACACGGTGGCCCTCTTGCAGCCCAAAAAGCAGAGAAGTTGCAAGCAACTCATTGGGATTCGTTAATTCCAAGTTCTGATCCAACCTGCATCTTTATGCGTCCAAACCACATCACTTTGTATCCAAACCAGGCATCCCCCTTACCTGTGTTAGTCCGATCTGACCGGTCATTGCTTTCGCAAAAGATCCATCAGGGCCACCTTGAAGAATGACGTTTTTGAAGAAACCACTAAAAGATGAAACACAAACACAAAATTAATCAAACGGCAGCCATGTTCCAAATGAATCTGTTGAAAACACCATGTCCTAAAGGCAAAACCTGTCTCGCACGTTACAGAGAAAACTGCTGAACATCTCACAGCTATCCCGCAGCCACTTCAACATGACAAGACACCTTAAGCCCCACCGAATCCCCCATTCCCCGACAATGTGGGGATCACTCATGGACACTGTCGTTTGCAAAAAATATATATATCACTGGTGTCCTTTCCCACTGAGGAGCAAAGCATCTACACAGGAAAGCACAGAACCACCGGTGGGTTGACAAGAAGGAAAGAAGCAAGCAACCTGTTCGGTGCTTCGGGTCCTTAAAAGTTGTAACCATCATAGCACTGGGGCAGTTGCACCATATTGCACCAGAAAGGCAACGGTGCACAAAAGCATGTTGCTTTTGTTCAAAACATTTGCTTCCCAAGTCAAGAACACGGCATCTCTTCCACAACCAAAGACTTACGTCTCCCGCACACAAACATTTAAAGACAAAGGTTAGACCACCCAGCTTACAGAGAAGGAAGAAAGATGAGGGTAGGGGTGGAAAGCTTGCCACCGCAGGATTTTTTGGTTCAGACAGGCAGCTGTAGTGCAGGCAAGACAGCCCGCTGAAGATTCTCCAAACCCCTAACCTGTGGCAAGCCGTGCTCTCCAGGAACCCTAAACAAGAACTCCATGCCAGTGCGGACTAGCTCTGAGTCGCTTGTCTTCCTGGCATGGTCAAGGTTTAATGCAAACCAAAGAGATCTCTAAGGCAGTATTTACTCCATCTTTCCACTTGAAGTGATGCAGGAGGGAGCTGTTATTTCAAAATCATTGAGAGCAATTATTAACCATTACAAAACAAAACAAAAAAAATGGGGAGGGGTGAGCTACAGAGACAACCATCAAAGCAATCAGAGACAGTGTGGTTGAGGAAGGTAGATCCAGACAGATGCATATGTTTCTTAAGAGCACACCACCCCTACTGTGACACAGAAGCTTTGTGTGTGGTTTTTCCCTAGAAGACACATTTCCATGTAGTACCAAAGGAATGTGAAAGCTTTTCATTACGACCATTGAAGGGAGAAGGGCCAAACCTCAAATTCTTACACCAGCCCCATTTCTATCAGGATAATACCGTAATACCTGTAATTAAGGTTGCGCCACCATCCTTTTGCCTCCAGCATCTGCTCAAAGGTTGTTAAATTTTTCACATGAAAATTTAACTCCTCCTGCACGGACTTCAGTAACCTGTCATTTTATGAGATCTACTGATGTTAGCTAGCTAGCTAGCTAGCTAGCTAACTAGTCAGTTAGGATGGATGGATGGATGGATGGATGGATGGATGGATGGATGGATGGATGGATGGATGGATGGATGGATGGATGGATGGATGGACAAGAAGGAAGGAAGGAAGATAGATGGAAGGAAGGAAGGTATATGGATGGAAGGAAAGAAGGAAGGATGGAAGAAAGGAAGAAAGGTATATGGAGAAAATGAAGGAGGGAAGGAAGATATATGGATGGATGGATGGATGGATGGATGGATGGATGGATGGATGGATGGATGGATGGATGGATGGAAGGAAGGAAGGAAGGAAGGAAGGAAGGAATGAAGGAAGGTCTACAAAAGAGAATAAAACCCCAACAGCCCATTTTGCTGGACAGTCAGCCCTCACCGGAGACAAAAGCAATTACTCTATGCTACTCAATGTGATAGATTCCACTGTAAATTAGCCACACGTTAGGGTCCCATGGGTGTAGACCATCCTAGCAGCTGCCTCCCTGAAATGCAGTATCAAGCTCATCCATTCTGGATAGCTCAGTGGCTTAGGTCTCTAGCTGCAGAACCCTAGGTTGGGAGTTCGCTTGGTGGCTTCTTGACAGGGGCTGGGTTCCATGACCCAGGGGGCCCCTTCCAGCTCTGAAGTCCTCAGATGATCCTAATCACACTCCAGTGCGCTCCAAATGTACTGGACCAGAACTCCTGTCCTAACCAGCTAGTGTGAGGAAAAACGATTGGGCACATCCTTCCCATTCCCACAAGGGGTTTTCCAGTTGCTTTCCCAAGAATTTTGCAATTCACCCCCACAATGCCCAGCCTTCTTTCTCTAGATCCGGAGTACCGGAAGATACTCAGCAAATCTCAACCCTCCCACTAACGGGGGAAAAAAAGCTTTCCAAGTCCCTACGTCCGACTTTTTAGGTGGTGAATGCAATCGACATGGAGAAGTATTTCTTCTCTAGAAGCAAAAAGACAGTCCATGGCCTTGCAGTGAAGCAACACAGGAGTCTTCAAGTCGCGTTTGGGGGATTATCAAGAACAAGCAACACTTGTTTTGGATGGCTCCTGCCCATAACTCTTGATTCCTGCACAGTCCTCCGTATTATTACAGAACAGAAACAAAGAGAAAGGGAAGGGACACTGTAGACTCTTCCACTTCACGAAAGAGGTCTCGACAACATAATGTCACTGAATATTCAGCCACGTTCGTTAAATATGTAGCAGTCTGCAGAAAAGGAGAAGAGAAGTCCAATCTGCACGCATTCTTTGATTAAAGCCCAAGTCATTGGTGGGGGGGGGCAAGACAACGTTGAGTCACTGGTGCAACTTAAGTCTGATCAGACAGTGAGTCCCAAAACTTGAGTATCCCTCCTTTCAAATGACGAAGAGTGCCCAGGGTGTCATTAGCTGGACTTCGATGTAAGCACAACTCTTTTCCAGAGAACACATTCTCCATTCTCTTAGCAAAGGCTTGAGAATGACACTGTCCAAATTTTCTACCCCAGCCTCCTAGGGTGATCTACAGGGGATTCTTTTTGAGCAGATCCCAGAGACTCGATTTGGGATGTTTGCAGAGCTACGGCAACCCGTCCTTATTGCCGCTGATTTTTGCAGGCCAATGTTTCCTCATTACAATTCTACATGGATCCCAGGGACCCACTCTGACAGGCAAAATTAGATGAATTATGCAAATAAGTGAAAACAAAGCAGAGCTGCCAAACAAACAAGCCAGTGAAAATGAGTCTAATTTGTATAAGTAGAGGTCAAATTGAATGGAAGAAGCCGTCCTACCTCTATCAGAGATGGGTCGGCCTTAAGTGTCCTTCATGAGTGGAAACGGAACCTATCAGAAGCATGCACTGGGGGGGGGCTCCACGAGATGCTTAGTAAAAAGAATGAGATGAGAACATCACCGCATTTCATGGCAGTCCAGCAGAGACTTAAGTGAAAAAAAATAATGGATTTTTAAAAAGATGGATGGAAGGGGAGAGAAGGAAGGTATTCATTGCATGACCTGCGCAGGGATGAAGGAGCAGAAAGAGAAGACAAAGTGCAGTTAATTAATTTAATTCCATTGTTGGGGCTTTCCAATTGCCCAAGATCTGTCAACATGCTTCTGCTTTGGGGTCCTGTTTCTGTAAAAGCAATCCTTTCATTTTCTGAGTGAGACTCATTGGCGCTAAGGTTTGCTCCCCAAATTTTTCCAGCTCTTCAAACACCCAAAGTGGACCAATTCAGCACTTTTGAGAATAGCCTGGATTCCGTCTGATCACCCCTTCGGGCTTCACTAAATCACTTCGGATGGAGCCCGAAACTCATAAATACCTCTGCTTCTCTTTGTTTTCCAAATAAATCTCAGATTCAAAAAGCCCATCCCCAAGCAATTAAAAGGTGGCTCTTACATGTTATACCACATAGCAGTCTATAAAAACACAACATCCAAACTGTGGCATTTTTAAAATGCAATAATACTTAGGCATTATTTAACAAAACCCAGTTCCCTGTGTCCTCCTTCAATCCTCACACAATCCATCGCATGTTGCTGAATTTCAACTTAAGAGTGACCCTTCCCAGGGCATGGTAGGCACACAGCACTCAGAAGTGGCTCCCCAGAGTCTCCAGATGTGCCTCTAGGACTGCAGCTTGCTCAAGGCTAAACAGGCTGGCTCTTCTCCTACTGGACGCAAAAGGGAACTGAACCCGCAGCTCATGGCTCTACAGAGAGGTGGTCCAACGCAATGCTGCAGTCACAAAAAATATTAGTGCTAGATTTTTTTCCCCTTTTGAGCTAATAAGAAAGACAAAGCAACTCTTTGGCTTATACATGAACAGACTGATTTTTTCAAAAGGATCAACCTTTAACAGATACCCCATGTAAACAAACAGCAACAACCTCATCTGTAGCCAATATCGGAAAATGCAGGTCTAGGACCACCACAAATTATGGGATGGCTGGCTCTTTCACACTGCTGTGACAGTGGTATTTATGGATATACTGAGCAGGAGAGCCCTTCTTCCCCACCTCTTCTGCTTCTCCGAAAGGAAAGATGCTTCTGATCTGCTTGTCTCTCTCCTGGGCTTTTTCCAATTCTACTGACTCCACTCCACCTTTGACAGACTCAAAAGGGCCGAGCTTGTGTGAGAACGGCCACGAGGATCTCCTGGCGGGCCGCCGTGGCGCCTCTCAAGACCTCTGCCCGTGGCCAGCTCACCCGTGGGCAAGTGGGGTGGGGGGAGAAATGTCAGAACCGGAAGAGGGAGGAGAGACACTAGACAAGGAAGGATGGAGAAAGGTCAGGAAGAGCCCCTAGAAGGGAGGAAGAGGAAGATAAAAGGGAGCAAGAGGGGAAGGAGGAGGAGGACCCACTGAAACAACAGAGGTCAAGGCACTGGCCATGAGTGAAGAATAGGAAGGGATTGAGAGGGACGACCCATGGACAGGGGAGCTGATGGAGCTGCGGGTACCAAAAGCAGAGGTGGGCATACGACCCCAGGCCAAGCTGGCTCGGACGCCATCCTTTTGGGGCGAACAGGAAAGAAGAGGAACCCTTCAAAGTGTTGAGAAGAAGGGTGGTGCCCCAATGACAGCTTCCGGGCCAGGCGTACGGAAGAGAGGGTGTACGCCAAACCATTCCCCGTCTCGAAAAGAAGGCAGGGGTCAGAATTGTCAAGGGCAGCGTGGTCACCCTAGAGAGCAGCCCTGCCTGTGGTGGCAAAGCCCCAGTCCTGCGTGTCTCGGAGGAGGAGGCTTCCAAGCGCTGGAGGAGCCGAAGGAAGGGCTCCGTGGAAGTAACCCCAAGAGGGGATGGAACGGGTTGAGAAGCAGGACCCGAGTTCTGTGTCTGAATACAAGGCAGTCTATTGTTCATTCCCCCTGCCCTGGTTGAATATACCCTGTTGTTACAAGCAGCCTACGCCTCCAAGCAGGGAGGAAGGAACCGTGATGGCAATAACTGCCACCCACTGGTCTAAACCCCCTTTTAAAGCTCTCCATGTCGGCTCCCTTCACTTTGAGATCACTTTGCAGCTCACTTTAAATCCCCACCTGGAGGGATCTTGACTCTTTTGATAGCTCAGTAGATTACACCTTGCCTGGCCCAGGTTGGCAAGATCAGATTTAGCCGGTTCCTTCTGAGGATGCCAAGGGGCACTGGCATGGGGCAAGGGCCACCAGCCCCTCTCTTGCCCCATGCCAAGTGGGCTGCTGAAATCTGGCAGAGAAGGGATAGCCATTTGGGCTATGCGTATGGTTAACTCCCCTTTCCTGCATGGCTATCTATCTTCTTGTTTAGAGCAGACGATGGGGCGGCCAACCTCAAAAAGATGTAATTGGGTGACCTGAATAACGATAGACAGGTTGCCCACGTTCCTTTGATTGTAATTGGGTGACCTGAATAACGATAGACGTTCCTTTTAGGGGCAAGGTGACTGAGACGGTGGTAGCAGAACAACTGCAGACGTTCCTGGAGATGAACGTTGCCTGCATCCATTCCAGTCAGTGTTACGGCCATGCCATGGGACCGAGATTGTGTTTTTAAAACAATAATTATAATAATAATCATAAAACTGCAGAGCTGGAAGGAAACCTACGGATCAAGTCGACCCCTGTCCAAGATGCACCATGGGGAACTAAACGGCTGGAAGGAAACCTATGGATCATCAAGTCGACCCCTGTCCGAGATGCACCATGGGCAACTAAACTCTCAATCTATGGCTTCAAAGCCAGAGATCTAAACCACTGAGCTATCCAGCAGCTGTTTTAATTACTTTAGGGTACCCTGTTTCCCGGAAAATAAGACCTAACCTGAAAACAAGCCCTGGCATGATTTTCCAGGATGCTCATCATAGAAGCCCTACCCGAAAAATAAGCCCCAGTTCAGTGAAGCCCCGCCCTCCACCCTT